ATCCCAGGAAAAGGAAAATAAAACTGATTTGTAACATGTGTTGGTTTTATTAGTACTCCACTCATAGTCAATTTCAAGTTACAACATGTTACATCGTGTAAACTGGCTTATAAAATTCCTAGAAATTCCTGTGCCAGTGCCAGCTCTAGCATAGCACTACTCTTGATGGTCAATGATCTAAAAGGAATAGTTACAGCTTAAGAGTAAATTGATTTACCCACAGCACACTCCCATGACAGTAGAGAGGTGGGAGTTGATACTTGCTGCAGGTAGGGTATTTGTAAGAGTGAGAGGATGGCTGGTAGCATGAAGTCTTCTTCCTCAGCCCACCCTATTTTCAGGGGATACCTGGGTCACAAACGTCAAATAACTCTTTTCAAAGTGATACACAATCCCTCATAAGTCAATGATTCTTTAGAAAATATAAACTGAGGAGTCTATCTGCTTTTCCTTGTTTTCTAGGCACTGATGTAGGGGTCTGCTGGGGCAGTGGAATATACTTTGAAAGAGGAGAAGGAGTTTCAAAGGTCAGTCTCAACAAAAAAAAAAAAGAGGTAATTTAAAATACATTGCTCTAACATTGTGCAAATTTTATCCAGAGTTTTTCAAAATGGTGGTGATATGAAAACCATCTACCATAAAGTCAGCATGGAGGACATACTCTCTGATACTCTCAGATACTCTCTGGTCATCCATGTACTCTTTCTGCTTTGGAAATAAGTAAATCCAGGCTCACACCATATGGCATAATAGGCAAAAGGTCATGGACTTTAAAATCCAGTTTAATCACTTACTAGTAATGTAACCTTGGGCTGGTGATATAAACTCTAAACCTCAGTGTCCCCATCTGCATAATGGAGATATACATTTCTACTGCATCATATGGTGTGGGGATTAAATGAGAGAACATACGCAAGACCTATAAAGTCACCTATGAAACAGAGATAACAATATCTATCAGGTAAGGTTGTAGTCACAATGGAGATACAACCTGCCAAGTCCTTAGTGTATGCCACAATCAAAGAGACTCTCAATAAAGGTCATCAGCAATTCTGCTGGAAAGGACAATAATCAGGTTTCCTCCTCTCACTTAGGTTGAGTGTACAGTTTATGAGGAGTCCAGAAACAAGATGCATTACGGTAGTGTGCCACACTGACACAGTTGTTTTGTATGCCTCTCTTGTATAATGTGGAGGAAAAGGACACAAGAACAATAATGGTAAGTTCACTGTAATGTCTGTCTCTCTTATTATTTTCCATAATAGAAATCATTTTGAAGAATTTATAGTAGGTCAAATACTATATTTTATAACATAAAATACAATGGAGAATTTGATACAATCTTTAGTTTGGGAGAAAATGAGGTGGAGGACAATATTCATCATAGTAAAGACAATTGTGGTATTAAAATTTCTTTTACCTACTAAAGGTGTTTGGCTAATTCTAACTCTGTTCTAAAATACTTTTAAAGAATCTTGAGATTTTCAAGGCATCTGAATCCAATACATTGATTGACTTTCTCAAAATAGCCAGCACTTAGCACCCAGATCCAATGGATCCTGGATACCCTGACCACTTGTTCACCATCTGGGCAGAGGGGCACCTTACATTTCTAGAAACAAGTCATTAAACTTCAGAAATAAAGCCTGCTAAGAGAAGTTATAATTAAAGGTGGAATAGGAAGATTCTAATTTACCACCTAATACAAAAAAAGACTTATTCTTTTTATTTCATAGTTTACATCATCTGCCTCACACCAACAGGTCAATCTTAATATTTCTTTTATAGTTCTGCAGCTCCTTTCTTCCATGAATAGGATTTTAGGGAATCTCTTCCCTTCCACTAACACCTTTCTTAAAAACAGAAAGGAATTAGAAAGTTACTTCTGAATGTTCTGTAGAAACTGTCATTCTATCAGAGGTACACTGATACAAAGACTGCACTGCTCAGCAAGGCAACCTCCCCGCTGTGGATCACGGGAGTACCATGGAGAGCTCCTATCTCCTCTCTTGACCTAGAGAGATGTAGATTCTGACCTGAAACCAGGGAAGTTGGTAAACTTCTTCCTTGATATTTTTTGTCATAATATGAAAATATATGTGCTACTAACCAGAACAACAGTGTAGCAGTAGAGAGGGGGTGTGCAGCAAACAGGAGAAAGAGTTCACTTTCTTTCTAGTTCTTTGAGATTTCATGCAAAAGGGAAACTTGTTTACCTCCTTGGCCGGGTAAAGTAACAGGCACTGGGGGCATGTCTCTTCCCTCTGTCTTGGAATATGTTGCTTCACTCCTGACTCTGCTGTCTGTTTCTAGTTTCTGTCTGCATCATCCCTTCTCCATTCTAGTGTCAGAGTGATCTTGATAAAATGAAAATCTAACCCAAATCTCTGTCCTCGTTACAGCATCCTTGGGATAAAGTACAACTCCTTACAGGAAAAGTCTGTCATTACCTGTCTCTATCCTACCTCTCTCATTTTATCATCTATCATATCCCCACACGCACATTATTTCGTCCACATTGAGCTTCTTGTAGATTCTCAAATAAGCCAAGTTCTCGAATATGCTTCCATCATTCATCCATCTAAAACCTACTTGTCCTTCAGACTCAGCTCAAACTCTCTCTGAGAAGATATCCCCTGAGCGCTCCCCATGACCACCACGACCCTACATGATCCAGTGTCTTCCTTCATGCTCACATGGCAGGATGCATGTCTCTAGGATAGCAGTTTTCACTTTGCATTGTAAGTATTGGCTGATCATCTGTGGAATTCTTTGAAGTTAGAGACCGCATCTCATCTGCAGTATCCTAGCAGCCCTAGTACCTAGTCCCTGACACACAGGCATAGCTGACACTAAGTTCCTGTTAAATTGAACAACACACTCACTGGAGAAGTTAAAAATGTTTAAATACAAATAAAACACTACCCCAACCACACAATAACAAGAGGACTTAAGCTATTGACTCATCTAGACTCATTATGTCACTTCTTATACCTCATTGTTATATTTCCTTCTGAATACATTTTTGTCTAGGCTTCCGACTGTCTCATTTCTTTGTCATATATCTTCACTACCCTTCGTACTTCATGGTAATTAGTACTATCTGTACTCACAGGTTGTAGCTGAAAAAGCCAGCTTGTGAGTAATAGTCCATACCCCAATGTTAGGAAACAAAAAACTAAAAGCTTTTCCTATAAAACAGAGAAAGAGTAGGATGGCCCCAAATAATTAAAAAGAATAGTAGCTCCTGCCACAAACAAAGAGACTGTCAAGTCATTACAAGAATGGAGGAAAGTTCGTGCCAATGGAGTAATAATGTTAAAATCATATTGATGCCTAGACTGCTTCCATAAAAGGAAACATCAAGATATTCCAAACCACTCTGTCCCTAAATCTGTATCTACACTTTGGTAAATAATTTACTTTAGGATGGAAATCAATCACTCAGTTCTCCCTACAAACCATCATTCCTTTGGATGAGAACTTCCAGATTATTTTGCCATGTCTGGATTCTCTAGGTTAGAGGATATGCTAAGCTCTGGGAATTCAAAATCCATACAGTTCTTACCCTGAGTAATAGTAAAGTCATGGAGGAGATGTAGTTGTCCAGTTTAATCCGCTAAATCCATTCCTAAAGAGCTTCAACTTCCTTGGATTGTCTTGCATTGCAGATGGAATCCTGTCCCCTTCTCTCTCCCTTCCATTTGCAGAATAATATATAGTGGATCTTTCTTGACAATTAAACATAATGTCTAAAACAACAGTATTGCCACAAGGGCCCTCTATACTTTGAAACTGAAAGCTATCGTAAAGCTTCTTCTGACTTTAAGTCCTAACTAGTGTATATTCTTTTATTTAATTTAAATATATATTAAAATATATGTGAACCTGCTAAGAGGCAATAAAGAAAAACAAAGTTATGGTAAAATAATGAGAGAGAGTCTTTATTGGTGGATATCTTCTGGAGAGATAGGTGCTTGTACTGGTTAGTTACATGGTGTATAACAACTAAGTCACAGCAAAGTCAATGATTTTTTAGATGAAAAGTAATTTTTTGAATGTTACCTTTGCCTTAACCACTTCTAACAACTTGGACTGATTGCAAACTCAACAGAGGTCATGAGGCCCAGTCTCCTGTTTGACAATCAGCCAAAAGACAGCTAAAATGCTTGTTCCTCCTTTGTTATTCTGAGTCATAGCAGCCTGGCACAATAGGATCAGTGGGCCATTACTGACTTTGTAAGATGCCTCTTTGAATAGTGGACAAAGCAGTTTCTGCAATAGACATTCACTAACATCTCACATGCAGTATTTTATAGGGTATTCAGGATTAAAATGACAGATCATCTTCTTCCCCCAAGAGTACTTTTTTCCTGAGATCACAAAACAGGAAATTAAAGTGCTCAACCAAAATCCCCAATAGAAAATATAAATCTCTGAAACATTTTAATGACATTGATGTCTCCCAAATGCCCAGAAATATTTAAAACTTTAAAACTAGTTAAGAGAAAATGACATTCTCTTTCATAAAGCCCAAGCACTTAAATGTCCTGCTCTAGGAAATGACCTCCCTGACCCAGCAAATAATAAATTAAGGGCTCAATTGGCCCTTTTTTTTCCTTCCAAGTTCTTTCCTCTATCTATGGTGAATAAATTAACTGCTTCCATGGCAACTGCTTGGAGAGGTATTCATCATTTCCAGAGTAAATTAATGTGCTTGTGGGTAGTCACAGTATGGGATGCTGTCAAACCTCTTTGGTACCTCCCCAAAATGGAATCATGTTTCTTTCCCCATGAGGTCTCCTCTTGATAGCTATTTTTCATGCATTGATCTGGGTTATCTGTCACCCTTTCAGAAGAACACAGGGTTCAGCCACCTCCCCACAATTGCTGCTGTCCAAGAGGTGTGACAGCTTGAAGATCTCTAAAGAAAAGATACCAAGGGTTACACAGGGCATCTTTCAGTCCAAAGTGGTAATGGGAACAAGAACCTTCTCTACCTTGCAGGTCAGCTTTGGTCAACGCAACTTTGTTAGCAAAAGAACAGAAAAAGCGAAAACAATAACCAGAGGTTAGTAAGAGGTAGAATAAACCAGGATAACATTACAGAAATGAAAACGCAATCTGCACAACCAACATCACTCAGACAGACAATTGAAATGCTCTACAGGTTCACCAGAGACAGCAAAGACGGGGATGGGGATTGGGGCAGGGTGGACGCGCAGACTAGGGACAGAGCCGGCCTCCTCAGAGCCAAGTCAGCAGAGCAGGGCAGGGGCGCATCAGACTTGACAAAGCACAGGCAAAACAGGCAACAAGAGCCTTCTCACATCCACAGCCAACCTCGGGGAGTGCATGGTCAGACTGAAAGACACGTGTGTGCAATCAGATGGAGCCCACAGAAACAATTCTAAACATTAGGAGCTGAGCATGGAAGAGTCACTTGAGTGTACCCCTTGTGCCCTCTTGCAAATGCCACCCAGGAATTTGGCACCAGAATTAGACATTTGGATCATGGTGATTTGGGAACACCAAAAATCTCAATTTGTTTAATTTTAAAAATATATCCAAACCCAAATAGTTGTGGGCAAAAGGGCACCAGATTAATGTCATTTTTATTTATTCATGCCAGTTTCAAAACAAAGCACGTGTATTTCTTTCAGATGTTTATCATCTGCAATTGTTAAACCACATTTCTAGCTGATCATGCCTTGGCCTCTGCAGCAAAGCGGGCCTCAATATAGGAAGATACATTTACCAGTCAAGTATTAAATCAGGTATGATTTAAAAAAAAAAAAAAAAAAAAAAAAAACAACCCTAGCTTAAATTGAGAGGTATCAAGTTACAACTAAATGTTGACTAGGAGTTGCCCAGAAATTGCACTTCATATCTAAATTATACATTTTGCATCTATCAGAGACATAAAATCAAATATTAGTTTCAAGAATTTTTTCCTTTTTGCTACTCATGCTTGAGAGCTGAAGAGTAGTAAATTACTATGTTTTTAAATAATTTTGCTAGCACTTTGGGAGGCAGAGGCTGGTGGATCACCTGAGGTCAAGAGTTCGAGACCAGCCTGGCCAACATGGTAAAACCCCATCTCTACTGAAAATACAAAAATTAGTCAGGTATGGTGGTGGGCACCTGTTATCCCAGCTACTCGGGAGGCTGAGGCAGGAGAATCGCTTGAAGCTGGGAGGTAGAGGTTGCAGTGAGCTAAGATCACGCCACTGCATTCCAGCCTGGGTAACAAGAGCGAAACTCCATCTCAATCAATCAGTCAATCAATCAATAAAATAAATAAAAATAATTTTGGACTCTTTCACCTTTTATTTTACCTGCTGTCATGTGTCTGATATAATAGGGAAGGTAATACATTTACTAACTAGGGATCTTAAAGTGTCATTGTCGATGACTTTGATGGAAACATATATTAAATGTAGATAGATACAGATATTTATCTATCTCTCTGTGTGTATATAAATATGTTTATCTGTGTATTCTAGATTTGCTAGAATAAAACACATCTTGAGGAGATCCTGGTCTTAGTTCTTAGTTATAAAACCTCATCCCCTACTTGTTTACTATTCTATACAAAAGAAATGATAAATTAAGAAATGTGTTCTGTTTCCTGTGGTCCTCATACTACCTAACGCTCAAAGACCTTCTTGGGGGTCTCATGCTCTACACAAGAGATTCAGGATACAAATCATGCCTTTTTGCAGCCTCTCCAGTGTTTTGCACTCTCTTTACCTCCCCACCATCTTACACAGAACCCTAAAATGCTCCTGGGATCTCTTGCAAGGGCTTACTCACAGTGGTACAAACTTCCAATGACAGTAATTTATGCCTTAACCCACTTTGGGCCATTTTTCCTGGCCACTTAGGCTAATTATCCAAGTCATTTGTGTACAATCAACAAGGACTTTCTTCCCTCAGCACTCACCCTCCACTTCATCCCACCCAGCGGGGTAGGCATAATGCTCAGTGGGTAACCGTTGTAATTATCTCCATGGCAATAGAGTGCAGTGCTATTAGGCTCATGGGACTCACCATAGATTCAGATGGTGGAGCCATCAAGCCACAATATCCGGTCTTGAACAATCAACCATACTCAGAAGAAGGTCGGAGCCCTCTGTAATGCATGTGATGAGTAATGCCAGACTGCACATAGAGCTGTACGTAGGGATAGGGACATTTTCCCCAACTCGTTATGTAATTTCTTTTTGCTGATGCTCTTACTGCTTCTCTTAAAACTCTCTTAAGTCAGGTCATTTTCCCTTTATATTATATGTTTTAGTACCCTTTTATAAAGCTTAGACCTCCTTTTAATCCAATACTATAGCTTTATTTATTTACACCTTTTTATATTCTGTATACCTGTACTATCAATACAGCAGCCATTGACATGTGTATTGAGCACTTTAAATGCATGTAGCCCCTGGGTTGAGGTGTACTGCAAGTATAAAATGCACACTCAAGTTTAGAGGCTTAATATGAAAAAAAAAGTGTGAAATATTGATAATTTTATCTTGATTACATTCTGAAATAATATTTTGGATATATTTTGTTAAGTTGAATAAAATACAAAATTACAATAAATTTGACCTTACTTTACACCTTTTTAAAATGTAGCTACTAGGAAATTTATAATTGCATGTGTTACATATATATCTATTGGGCCACCTTGACATAGAGTTTAATGGATGATTCCTGTTAACTTTTCAATCTGAAGAACTGATGGCATGATAAAAAATATGTAACATTTGACCAGTATCTTATGCTTTCTAATATGTGCTCTTATATTGTGATTTGACTTCATATGATTAATTATTCCAGGATAAATGGAATTACTGCCATTCCACAATCTTCTAAACTACTATATTCAATTTAATTCCAAATGCTACATCTATCCCAGGATTGCCCTTTAATACACAAAAGAACTAAAAGCAAGCCAAGGAGATAAAAATCCTTGATTGAAATTGTTCATTTCTAGGAGCAAAATGGCTGCTTTAAGGGCTTAGTGATTCCCAACCTCCTGTCCCTTTACACACACACACACACACAAACACACACACACACACACACACACACACACACTACATACTACAAACACCATATTTGGCCAAGAGAATTTAAGAAATATTTCTGGATAAAGGAAAAATGGAGTGGGTTATAGGAATGAATACTCTTATTACTAGCGCAAAACACAAAAATAACTCTCAGGCAAAGGGAAACAATTTCCGTAACATCAAGTCAGCCTGAGAAGCTGACAGGAAGCTTTTATAAAAGTGTGCTTTATGACAATGAGTGAACCCAGATGGAAGCTGTTTAAGAACAGAAGTGATACAAGAAGTTGAACACAGAAGAGGAATGAACAGATTTGATGTGGTAAATTAACAACTGATACAAGGAAACACAATATATTGCACAAACACAGGACCATAAGGCTCAACCAAAAGGCTCAAAAAGAACAAAAGGAAATAATTACATAGATCCTGGGTCAGGCAACTTCTTTGCCTTTCAAGTGAGGTAAGAGTCACGTTTTCAGCCAACCCAAGGCTACTAGGGAAGGCTGAATCTGTTCACTTCTGCCATCTGCTGGTTAAAACTAGATTGTTTACACTGCAAAGAATTGCTGGATTCAGGAAGACCTGTAAAATTCATTTAATATCTCAAGAGACAGTGGATCATCTATAGGAACAGGCTGAGCATGGTTTGTTGTGCTGCATGGGTAGACATGCAGTATTATTAGATGTTTGACATAAAATACTATTTGTAAACAATAATCCTACCATTTATAGAGTACCTACCACATATCAGGCATTTTATATGTATTTCTGATTTCCTTACATTCAAGGTAAGTTTTATTGCCCTCTTTTATAGTTAAGAAAGACATAGCTTAGAGACGTTACATCACCTTCCAAATGTCACATAGCTAACAAGAGCTACTACCTGGAGCTGAATCCAGGTCTTTCTAACATCAAAGCCCATAATGTTCCATTATACCACACTAAAGAACTGCCTAACAATGCCTGATAACTAGTAAGTACTTAATAAATGTTAGTTCCCTTCCATCATCATGGCATTTGGACATCGTTTTCCTATCACCTACTAGATTTGCATTAAATAATGCAGTCACTACCAGCCAAAATAAGACACATTTTATTAATTAGTGACACCTACATAAAATCTCTGGTTTCCCCTCATCACGTATTAAAGTATAAATAAAAGTCCCCAGAGCTCTTTCAGCCATTCTGGAAGCCAAGGTACACACTGGAAGAAGCCTGATGTCAATGCCAGGGAAGTTTTGTTTTTTATTATTTCTATTGGCAAGTATGTGATACTCAGAAAACATCTGCCAACATACATTCCTGGAGCCTGTGGCACATGTCTTGACATACTAAACCGGTGACAAGAGGACACTGATGGTGATGCAATGTCACATGGCAAATGAGAATGAGACAGGACTGGTCAACTGAGGAAGGAGGCACTGGCAGAGGCAGCAAAGAGGGTTGGTGCTTGCAACAAGGCTGTAGCTTAACAAGAAAAAAAAATAGGTTGTACCTTCACAGCCACGCTCGATCTGTCCGCTCCGATGAAGGGCATCATTGATGAGGTCTGGCAGGCGTCCATTCAAGTCCACTGATGCCAGACAGCCCTGAAACCCATCTCGAGAGGCCACAAGCTTTGGGAGGTTGCTGTACATGCCTTGGGCCAGACCAGCCATGTAGAGATCACCTGGAAAGGAAAGTCAGTAGCAAAAGAGAATGAGTAAAGGATGTGTTGACTATGTCAACTAGTTTGATACACTTGAGATAATTCATCAGATAAGGGATAAGACAGCTGGGGGGAAAACAGCATAAATGAGATAAGCACCAGAGTTTCTATCCTGCAAAAAAAGGAAACCAACATTTATTACGTGTCACTCATTTTACATATATCATCTCAAAAATTTAATCATCATAAATGGAGTAAAGATTAACAATACTGTCAACAAAGCAAGCATTTATTGAGTGCTTTTCATGTGCTTGTTACCAATAATATGCTGAGGGTTTTACAGACATTTCATCAAAACTTCTAACAACCTACAGAGAAACTAACAATTATCATCTTCATTTTGCAAAGAAAAGTAAATGTAAGCTGAACAAGGGCGAACACATTTTACCCATGACACCAGACATTAAATGATTCAGCTGAAATTCCAAAGCCTATATTCCTTCCTCTGTATTATGGCCCCTCCCACACTTTGCCAATTATCCTGTCACCACTCAGCCCCCACAGCATGACATTCCCAAGGTTATCAGAGAAAATGAAACATTCCTTGATGAGTCGTCTAAGCGAAAACAGAATAAATTGCATTACAGAATAATTCAACATTGTTAAAACAGGATATGGATGATGTATCAAAAACACATGGCACTCCGAACCTGTGGTTTGCCTCTGGAAACAGTCTATCTATTGTAAGAAAAGCTCTATTAAAAACTAAACTTCTTTACAGGGTTTACCTTTCAAATCCAGGTTTTTGGCACCATTGATAACCTGAGTGACCACTTTGGTGTCCACTTTCAGGCTATGAGTGTTACTATTGTCCCGAGTGATGACGACATTGTGCCACTGGTTGTCATTCAGGGGGCGATCACTGTTGCCTTTGATCACATTGGGACCGTTTCCGAGGTCAAAAACGTAGTGTATATACCTAGGAAGAGAAAAAAAAAAAAAAAACACCCAATAATTGGAAAATCCCTGAAGTGGTTTAATGGCTATGTGTGTGTAACTGACAGAGGGCTTCAAATCCCCCATGCTAAACTGGCATAATGCAGGAATAATTTAAATCTTGATATGAGATTACAAGAATAGTCAGATTTTATTCTATCATGCTTCACTTTAATTCCATACTCATCGAGTCCATTTCATTAACACTACCTAGTAATACTCTGCAGATTCAAAGTAGCACAGGTTGTACACTACAAAACGCAAGGGGGTGACCTTTAAGTTCATAGTCAACCATTAATCTGTTTTTGTTTTTGTTTTTTGTTTTGACTGTTTTCTAATACATGGTAGTAAAATGTCTTGAAGAAAGGGCAACTTCTAAAAACTTGCATATATGGGCTAATGGTAGGATTAAAAATATCTATGTTTCATCTTTTGTTGTAAATTGGGTGGTTGTAGTTAGCAATACTCAAGGATTAGATGCAATACAAATCATAGTCCTCTTTTGCAAAAATAAGCTTTTCTTCTATAGTTTTAAAGGGCTAGATTTCATAGTAAAAAGTCTGTTAGTGTTGAGTTAGTGGAAGACCTTTAAATTAAAGCACGAGTCTCTCTCCTTTTCAGACCTAATAATTTTACGGATCTATTTAATCAAGGAAGATGCTGGAATGTCAGGAATGGAGGGTAGGGAGTAGAATAGACAAGTTATTTTTATGCCTATATGTAGAGCTTCAGCAGATTAAAGGTGTCCAACATAAGTCATGATCCCTTCTACTTACCCCTTTACAAGCTCAACTGCAATGAAGTCATTGCCATCACCACTATTGAAGAGAATGAAGCCATCTGGTGAGGTGGTCTTGAACTGGAAGAAGAGGTGCATGGAGGTATAAGCCTGAAGGGTGGCAAGGCTCAGGTAGCTACTCTTGGTCTTAAAGGTGACAGGGTCGGCGATGATGTTCCTCAGTCCAAAACGAGCCTTCAGCTCACAATAATCAATGTCACCATTTTTGCACAAGTCAATGTAGAGAAGGCCATTAAACATGAGGCTCTGCAGATGGCCAATGAAGCTGGAGGGGACAACGGAGATGTAACGTTTCTCAGTCATGATTCCTGTTTCAATGTTGTGGAACTCCAAACGGGTATGGTCTCCCACCATTGTACCTGTGGAAATTGTAAATGAGGTACAAACAGAAAAAGTTACCATCATTCAGCACAGCACCCTCAAGTATATTTTTTGGGTGTAACTCATTTCCACACAGAATATTCAGTTTTCTTGGGTGAGTTCCAGAAAACCAAATATTCAATATGGTAGATACCTTACTTGGCCTCAATCAGGGCACTGAGGACTAGTGTTGCCCAAATTACATGTCCTGAATCCCATGCTCTCATGCTGCTGCTCAGCACGGCTTATCATGTAAGGGGAAATATGAGGTCATGAGTAACCCAGGCTAAAGGATAAAATTATTGGTATTCTCCATTTAGGAGAATCACTGGACACTAATACATACTATAAGAAGAGAGGTCTTTTTGCTCTGACCCTTGTAAAGACACAGCAAACAAGTCTTGGGCATTCACTACCAAGTATTTTTTTCTCGTGATAACTCACCACCTAGTACTTGTGGGAAGGGTTCTGTTATAGAGTATCAGTTGACTTCACCTGCCCAGCAACTGTTACTTTATCTTATAATAAAATGTAATTTTTTTTTTTAGGAAGCTACCCACCCCTCTTGACCTTTCAACCACCTGGACTGGATAAAGTTGACCCTAATCAAGCTACTCAGCCTAGACCACTCAATGTATTTTACCCCCCTAACTGTCACAGACTTTGGACTACAGACTAAAAAACTGGTCATCACACTTTAGGGTGTATCAGAATCACCTGGGGGGCTTAGACCCTCAGAGTTTAGAATTCAAAAGTCTGGAGTAAGGCTTGAGAATCTGCATTTCTAACAAGCTCCAAGGTGATTCTCTTGTGATTGATTTAGGCACAACCCTTAGAACTGGCAACAACTCAAGCCAGCCCAGCCACGTTCAGCTCCAGAGCTCTTGCAAGCAAGGATTGCTGGAGGGGTAAGAAGAAAGCTTCGAGTTCCTGGAGGCTATAAGATAATCAGAGGGATCAGAGGACTAGCAACCCAGAAGACAATTACAAAATGAAGCGAATCAGCACAAATAATATTTGTGCTGTCCTTTGAGACTCTGTATCAAGCCAGGCACCTCTGGGCTTTTTCAAACTGTGTGGCAATAGACTCCCTTTCATGCTGAAAGCATTTGAGTTGGGTTTCTGACATTCACAAGGGAAGTATCTTCAGCTGATACAAACTAACTATTTAGAACTTTCATTGCCTATTTTACTTAGAAGTGGTGAGTGACTAGGGTAGAGGGGACAAGGGGGGCTTGAAATAAATACAAAGAGACTGGAAATTTTAACAACAAAATAAAGAAAAACATCATTAATGTGGCCAGAGTAGAAACTGGCTTCCTCAACATTTATACAGAAAAATCATGTTAAAACATAACAAACCATGTTTTACTGCCAAGCATTAGAGGGGGAATTCTTTCTTCCTGTCCTCTCTTCTTGTTACCTTCTACATCGAAGAAACTCCACTAGCAAGGCTGATAGCATGTCTTTATTTTCTCTTTAACAACTTTCCTGAAGAAGTGACATAATCAGAAATATTAAGGATAATCTGCAAAGATAAGCTGTGTATGCTTAGCTCAGTCCCTGACATCTCCTGTTTCTCTCTGCTGGAGCAAGCTGCCTTCAGAAATGTCCATTCTACTGCATGCATCCATAGAATGGGTGTTACAGGAGCAATCCTTTTTTCCACAAAGGATGCCTACCCAGTTCTGAACTACTATTCAAGTGGGCAATTCTGTCTAATTCTGAAGTTCAGTGGGTATAAGCAATATTATTAATGTGTGTTATTACTAATTTAAATGATATTTGCCTTCCATCCTCATTGTAATATTTTCTCTACTGGCTCAGAATTCCAGTGACAAAAAAACGGAGGACTGTATTTCCTTAGGTCTCTTAAACTTTAATGTCTGGGAGACTAAACCAGACCATACCCTTAAGTGCTCAATATTGATTTTATCTCTTTGGGAAAAAAACTCAGACCTAATTTAAAGAATTGGCTGGAGACAATGGCTCATGCCTGTAATCCCAGCACTTTGGGAGGCTGAGACAGAAAGATTGCTTGAGGCTAGAAGTTCAAGACCAGCCTGGGCAATATAGCAAGACCTAGTGTCTACAAATTAAAAGAAAATATTAGCCAGGCATAGAGGTGTGTACCTATAGTGCTAGCTACTCAGGAGGCTAAGGTAGGAGGATCACTGGAGCCCAGGAGTTTGAGGCTGCACTCCAGCCTAGGTAACACAGCAAGACACTGTCTCTAAAGTATAAAAATAAAATTTCTCATATTCCCTATAAGCACAAAAATTAGATTTACATGTTATGAGCTTCTATGTGGTGTTTTGACAACTAGTGACAAATCACTCTCTTAATATAAGAAAAAAAGATGTTGGTTAACTTAAATATAAATATCAAAATGCAACATAAATCTGCTAACAAATAACTAGGAAATAAAATTGCTTAGTGCTAAAAATCAGACCGGTTGTGAAAATGCAAAGCAAGATAACCTAAATTCACATGCTCTAAATTAATAGAGTGACTGAAAGAAACATCTACTGTCAAATTGGCTATAGCTACTCCTACCAGGATGGGGAGCTGGGCTGGAAAATGATGGGGATGGGGAGTCATAGTCAATAGCCATGGAAACAGAGAAACTGAACTATGATGATGCTGCTAGTCATGCTAATTCTTATTTTACAAAGAAAAAGAAAAACCTAAGATGAGAACTAAGAAGTGAGAATGGAGAATCTCTGGTGAAGACTGGGGTTCCATAAGGAATCTGAAGATACAATTTTAAAGTCAAGTTGAGAGCTTTCAGAGAAATTCTGGATGAATTGACCTCCAGGATTGAGGGGTTGGGAAATTCTGCTCACTAGAAAATTAATTTTTTACAGCAAACAAAAGTGTTTAATGAGATAGGAGATAGCAGAGAGACTGAGCGTGGATGTGGATAAGTATAAGAAGTAAAGTTAATGGTAGATTTAAGAGCTTAGCCCAGGAACACAAACTGAGAGTTCATGACAACTCACACAGAAGCCGCAACTAAGAGTTGGCTAGGGGATGGGGAGAAGGCCATGTGGAATCAAATTAGAAAAGGAATTTGCTTGGGAGGTCGAGGCAGGTGGATCATGAGGTCAGGAGATCGAGACCTTCCTGGCTAACATGGTGAAACACTATCTCTATTAAAACTACAAAAAAATTAGCCTGGCATGGTGGCATGCGCCCAGCTACTTAGGAGGCAAAGGCAGGAGAATTGCTTGAACCCGGGAGGCACAGCTTGCAGTGAGCTGAGATCATGCCACTGCACTCCAGCCTGGGCAACAAAGCGAGACTCCATCTGGGAAATAAATAAATAAATAAATAAATAAATAAATAAATAAATAAATTGGCTTCACGGTGTGCTAAAGGAACTTATTCCTTTGTTGATGGAGACTTCAAAAAATAAGTATATTATTGCACCCGGGCAAAGCATGAGCAATTGCTGAAAGTTTGAAACCCATGCCAAATTAACAAAATACGTTTTTTAAAATCTGTGTGCCATTTAATCAATAGTAGTGACATAAACCTTTCACTCATCTCCTCTGAATGCTGTCTGCAAACTGAACCTCCTTTCCACTTAAGGGGCAAATATATTCATACTTCACAGCAGCTTCTTTCAAAGTTCAGGGGAAAGAGAAGTAACTGGGGAGAAAGATAACAAGGCAAAACCAAGACTACTGAAAATTCCATATAAGGCAGGCAGTGTGCTAAATACTGCATAATCACTATGAAATGTCATTATCACAATAAAATTGTAGATAAGTATCTTTCTCTTGCTTTAGAGGTTAGGACATTTATCTTGTAGAGGTTAAGCAGTTTGATCAAGATTCACGCAGGTGGTAAATGGTAGACCCCTACATTGAACTCAGGTCTGCTAATTCCAAAGCCCATATCTTTATTAGTACAATGAACTGTCTTTGGAAAAAAGGTTTGACTTATTCCTCACATCGTTGCCCAAGAAAAGCAGTAGGTAGAATTTAACTGGTGAAATTTTCATGCAGAAGCTGTTGTAAGGAGTTCTTATTTCTTCCCTATGGCCCAGTATCAGAATGTCACTCCATCTAATTCATGGGTAATATATCCAGCACCTTCCCTAAAGCAGCAATGTTGCCTTGCCTCCTTGTCACACATTCACTTCCATATTTCACTGATGGCCAACAAGCAGTCCACAAACCAGCACTTAGAGTGATGAAGGATGTATACTTATGGAAAATTCTGGCCATGTTCAAGCTGTAGCTTCCTATTCCTATGAAGCAACAGCATCTAGTGCATGAGCATGGAGAGTCCAGGGCTATACTGCCTGACTTTGCCTTCTGCCTCCAAGACTTCTTCACTAGGTTACCTTGGGGGAGTTATTGGATTTTTCTATGCCTCAGATTCCCATCTGTAAAACAGGCACGAAGTTAGCAGGGTTAAATGTATCAATTCATGTGAAGTACTTCATAGAGTACATATGGCTTAAACTGCGCTACTAATTATGCCACATTCATTTCCCTCCCTTCCCCTGAAATGATTGAATCATGTTCTTTTCACTTATTATTTTTCTCTCTCTTTTTTTTTTTTTTTTGGTGAGAATATGGGCTCTTTTTAAGTAGAAGCCACCTCTTGTGTCTTCCGTATGTCCCACAGTGGCTACCAGAGGGGTCTGAGCACAACCAGCTTTCCTAACTCCCGGGGGAGGGGCTTGTGCTTGAGACATTTGCTTTGGGGTCAAGGCTCGGGTCCTCACCATTTCTACACATGAGGTTCCTGGCCAAAACTAAGAGCTCAGCAAAAAAGAATAATAATGGGAAATGCTGAGAGGAAGCAAACTGACCTTTCATGGCTCCCAGACTTGAGGAGAGAAGTTAAGAAAACGAAGACTTATAGAGTACCAGTAAAGAATCTTCATATTTTGTCCACAATTCCCTAGCTCTACTGGTCCCACATCCCTTTCTCCATAATATCAGCAATTTTTAAAAGTGTGTAAGTATGGTATAAAATGCTTTATTTAAAAAAGTTTCTGGAACCCCCCCCAAAAAATTAGCAAATACTGCATACTTATCAATGATTTGCAATGTACATTAGCTTATTAAAGTCTCCTAATAAGCCTTGCAATAAAGAACTCCATTTCATTTTGTTTGACTTAACACTCCTCAATTCCGTTTTATCAAGTTTTTAAAAATTACTATGAGAAATACATTTTAAATGGAAAAATTTGCAAAATGACTTTGTACAGCTTGCTGCTATATATGCTATGTAGATAAGGATGGGAAAAGTCAGCAAAAACCAGTGTAGTCAATTTTTTATATTAGCAAGGGTAAGTTTTTGTACTAGCAAGAAGTTCTAGGCAGAGGAAGCAGTTCATGCAGCATTAGGCCCCAATTCTGAGGAGTATAACTCAAGTTATGCTTGGTATAGTAATGTATTCTTAATAATAGAAACATAGATCAATCCATTATTATTAATTGTCAACCGAACTTAATGCTTTTCCAAGAATACAATCACATTACAATAAATGATAAACACAAGGTTGAGGAATATTTCTATCCTTGCTTTTGATTTCTTGTGAGTCAGACCTATTCTTTGCATCATTTCTATAAACTAGTTGAAATTGGACACACTGGGGGGTCTTAGAGAACATTAAAGGGATTACTAAATAAGCCAATGAGATAGTACTTAATAACTTGAGGACTGTGGGTATTTTAGTTTCATTGCCTGATTTTATGACTTCTGTGAATAAAAATTAAAATTTCCCAACCCCTTATCACTGTAAAAAGCAATCCAAGATTGTAGCTCATAAGCAAAACAGCCCTTTTCCTCTCCCAAATTTCTTTATCCTCCTGGCTGCTTTCTTCCACCAGCAGTGAAGTTCAGGGGGTGGGGAAGGGGACATGTCTGAAAATGAAAGTTTCATTAATTTCAAAAAATCAAATTACTGGATAACGGCATTTCGCGACTTAGCCCTGCTTTTTAATTATTAGTGGTAAAAGAAAGTGCAATTTACAAATACCTTTATTCCAAAGTTTTCATAAAAGAATAATGACTGAGAGAGACACATTACAGTACCCTCAGCTCTGTCGTTTTTTATGACTATACTTTTGGAGTATTTATTTTCCAGGGAAAATGAAAGGAACTCACTGTCAGGAGAGATCAGGGTGAGGTCGCCATCTAGTGGCTGCTTTTCAGAAGCGGCTGTGAATCCCGTCACCCTTCAGAGACAAGCCCAGAGGAGTGAGCAAGAGATGTGTGACTTATTACCAGGGCCTTTGCAGGATCCAGATGCACCAACAGTTGATACAGTTCTTGAATAATTAATTCAGGTTGGCTGTGGGCGCTACCTAGTGTAACCATTTGTACATCTCTTTTAAAATGTTCATTTCAGAATGCAAATTTATGCTTCAGGCATGTAGACCAGGAACTTCATCTCCCACTTCTAAGTTATGTCTGTGTGTAATGGAAGTGTTTTGGATAATTGTGGTGGTGGTTCTGTTTGTCTTTGTTTTTGTGGGGGACAGGTCAAGTGTTGTGGTCTACCTCCTGTAAGTTTCTCAGGAGACTTTAATAAGCGAATGCATTCCCCACCTCACTCCAACCCGTTCCATTATATTTTTCCCATATTGTAAGACAAATTATTTTCTTATGATGGATTTTGAAGTAGAGCAAGCGGAATGATTTTGTGGAATCACACTAACATGGATTTGGAGCTTAATTATACAACATTCTCAAAGTTTCACGCTTCCTTTCTGTAAAAGGTAAGTGACATTACAAACACTTACCTTTAAAGGCTATAGTGAATGATAGATGATTAAAGGAGCTGATATGCTTAACACAGCTAACAGTTTCTAATGCCTACTGGGCACCGGATATGTGCCTAGATGCTCTTCCTTAATCCACAGGCTATCCATCTCTACACACACACACCTGCACATACGTATCTTACTATATTTCCTGATTCCAGAAGTATAGAAACTCAGGCTCATGAAAATAAAATTAAATCACAAGATCCCAAATTACAGAATATTCATGCTGGAAAAGGCCATAGAAATAACAGAATTTCAATTTTAAAAATGAGGAAATTAGGACAAAGAGGTTTAGTGTATCTATCCCAAAGGCATAAAACATTTTATTGGCAACGATTGTATTAGACCCCCTGGGCCCCTCACTGTTTTATTCACAGAAGAAACCATCGAGATGGCTTAGGACACTGACTGCATTTAACAAGGCTCAGGAATGTTAACTTTCCTAATATCCTGCAAGTTAATGTCAGGGCCCACATCTGATGCCAACAGTGTTATATGTAATACCCCATGCTGCCCCAAGTCTTCTTTCCCATATGGATAAGAATTCTGCTTCATAGATGTGTCCTGCTCTTGAATATCAGAGAGGGAAGACTTATAAGATACAGCATGTAAAATGGCACTTGATGATAGTCTCTCTCATACCTCAGCCTTCATCAATTACATCCACCATCAAATTCAGGCTGAAGATCTACCTTTATAAACCACTTCTGACTTCTCCAGCCCAAATGGGTAATTCTGTCTTCTGATTGAAAAATTATAATCTCACCCACCAAAATTAGAATCTCATTATATATTTTGGTCCTATTTTCAAATACCAGAACCGTATGTATTCTGCTTGATTGGTTCATTATTTGAGGAAACAGGTAATCTCGTCTGTCTCCATTTTATCTTCTGCAATTCTAGCATGCTGCTGACATACAACAGACTCTTAGGAAATACTTATTGATTGTGTGGAGCTCTGAATGTTTCTTTCCATATGAATGGGTGCATTAATTTTTTCCTTACCCTTTTAAATGTAAATTCCACCAGGCCAAAGATTTGCTTGTTTGTTCACTGCTGTATTCTCAGTGCCTTATAAAATGGTGTGTGGTGCAGAATAAATAATTAATAATGATTAAATAAGTAATTAATTAAACCAAACCTTATTCAGCACCTTCTAAGTATCATGCACTGTTTTAGTACTTTACCTGTAATGTTCTGAATTTCTGGTTTGTCCGTCTCTTCTGCTAGAGAGTGATTCACTCACTGATGGAAGGAATTGGCATATGGGAGGATGATTGACATGTGATTTTTGAATGACTGAATAATAAAAGGATCTGTAGAACCCTACATCTGTTCTCCAGACACATACTCTATGCCTAAGGAGAGAGACCCATAAATATGTAGTTATAGTTAGCAGGTAATTTCCATAACGCACATTGATGAAAAGGGATTGTAAAATACAGAGGAAGACCTTCTTAGCCTTGCCTGAGTTGGTCTACAGAAAACACGATTTGTGACTTCTACTATGCAAAATAAAAGGTTTTGCAAAACACTGTTCGCTTACTGAATGACTGAGAGGACCATGAGAGAAAAGAGAGACAAATTTCACCATCGTCATACTCACCCTCAGCCACATCATCATCCACGGTTAACTTAAGGCTTTTTCCTCTCCGCACCACCCGAACGGTGTGCCACTCATTGTCATTGAGCTTCTGCCCTGCATACAGGGTTTCTGGTCCTTTGCCTAAGGATGGTAGTAAGTGCCAAAGTTAGAATCAATTCTCAAAGTACTGTTCATGCATCAGGGCTGTCAAAACCACACTGGTGCACATGAGCCAGCAGCACTCAAGGAATTATATTCCACCCAAAGTCCATTCGAATTTTACTAATCCAACGGATTCTCCGTAGGAATCCCCATGTGCAAAAGTCTCAATTCAAACATAAAGGATAATGGCACAGTAATGAAAAAAATTGCGCCTTCCTTTATCTCAGATATAAGGTTTTCAAATGCCAATGGCAGTAAGCAATCATTTACAGGAAGCTGTAGTTAGCAGTCATTAATCTCTCAAAGTCTTAGAATCCAGATGCATTTCTTTGAGATAATAGGAAATTTACTGTAATATTTTTTCTTTAGAATAATTTGGCCATTTGGCATTATACACCAGTCTGGCTTTTAGAGAGTTTCCACCAATAGGACAAGAAAAGGACTTTGCAACACATACTGCCTTAACTTGACATTTCCATTAACACAGGGTCCTACTAGGATTTGCAACCATAGAAATCACAATAGTAAGCATTACAATAGTAATAATGTCAAGTTTTAAACCCCATCATAAATAATGCTCCTGAAGGGAATATGAGGGCCCCCAGAATTTTCCCATTGTTCATCATCCTCCAAAAGGATCCAAAGACCTAAAACCTGAAATGATGCAAAGTTCCAAAACTGAAACTTTTCAGGACAAAAGTATGACTAATATAAAGTGCCACTAAATAAAGGAATAAACCAAGTTGTCCCAAGAGATCCATGCTCCAGACGCTGAAGCTAAGGTTCAACTGAACCCTATAAAGAATCAGGGGTAACAGGAATTGTACTTGGGGCAAAAGATGGCAAGAGAGACACAGAGGCATTAAAACGATCCAGTTAATAAAGAAAGAAAATGTCACATTCTTTTAGGATGTATATCGTTATTGATCTGAAGTATAAATTTAAAAGACAAAGAAGATTACATAGAAGCAGAAGATAGACCAAGTTTGCTCTTTCTAGGAGGATAGCTGAGCTCATGAAGAAAGATGCTGATTAAATATTTTTGGATTAGTCAGTCTATATGTGGAAAGCCCCGTTCCTGAAAATGACTAGGGAAAAAAAGAGATAACAGCATATAAGTGGCTAATATTTCCCTATGGATATATGTGAAATAGTTTGGAAAACCATATACTTGGCTCCAACATATACTGAGCACAGGGCCAAGTGCATAGTAGGAGCTTTAATGAGTGCTTGAATAATCAATGTCTACATAGGTCTGTTTCTATGGTAACCATCAATCAGGGTCAATATGTATTTATCTAAGTAATTTGAAAGCTTTATTACGTAACTGTCACTAGCTACTCTCCTCCCTCCTATACATTCAAGACTGAAGATATTTTATATGGGGGAATATAAATCTCCAGGTAATTTCAAACTACACCTTTTAATTTTGAGTAATTAGTATTCCTATTTTCTGCTGGTTATAAGAGTTATGGTAGTAGTTCAAGTTTGGAGGAATTCTCCTCTTGAAAAATAAACAGCCTTTCAGAGTGAAAAAGTTTCTTTTAATTACAATGAGCACAGCAAATAACTTATATTTAATAATTTTCAGAATGTACCCAAACCTCAAGTGCAACCCACATTGACAAGAATCTTGAACATTTAGTAAGGAAACCTAAAGGACCAAACGCCTTCAAAATTAGGGAGTGAAGCCAAAAGAGCAATGAATCTTAGGAATAAAGTAACTCTACAATAAACCATTTTAGATTCCATCTCAGCTTCTCTTGCTTTATATGTTTGTCTCAATGTTACATAAAACATATGTATTATAACAGAATTTCCCTACATTTTCAACTGATTAGATACCACTCTTCATTATCTTATTAAGTTCAGGTCTAAGATTGATTTAACAGTTGCCTTCACAACAGCCAACAGTAAGGGCATTGAAAGAAAATGGACCACATCATGTGGATACTTTATAAAAAGAACAGATGTTCCCAGAAAAAACAAATCTGTCTTTGGTTTTTATGTTTTTATTCTCTTTATTCTACATGCAAATGCTTCAATAAGAAAGAAAAAAGTAAAGAAAGACGTGGAGAATATTAGCTATGAAGGCAGAACTGCTACAAGTACGGGCTATTTAAAACATCTTCTATAAGGTGGCATCTGTTCTTTAGGCAATTTTTGTACATCGCTTAATTTTTATGACTGGGGACAAGATAAGGGAAAATGACTAACACAAACATAGTAGTTTGGGAACATTGCTTCATTCGTGTCACATCACCTATAGAGTTATAAAACAAGCTTTCTTTCAGCCCAATGATGCTAACGTTTGGAAGTCCGTCAGCTTTTATGCTATCCTTGAGATATTCACAGTGGTCAGATTCAAACATAAATATTTAACTGTCCATTTGGCTGTAAAACTTTGGAATGTGATGGCCAACGAATAAAAATGTAAGAAAAAGAAAAAAAGAAAAAAGAAAACCCACAAAACTGAAGCTTCTCATGCCCTACTATTTAGTTGCATTTGATACCTCCAACAGCAACAATCCTTATTATTCTTAGAGTAGAAAAAACAAGATTCATACTTATCTCATCAAAATGACATGGAATGGTATTTGATATTTATTTTCAAACAATAAATAAGTCCCAGTGGAATTTTGTAAAACTCCTGGCCTCCAGAAGTGGAGAGTCAATGGCGTTTATCCTTAATCAAGTCAAAAGGTCAAGTCATTCTACAGAGGAAAAGTGATGTTTAAACTCAGCAGGAAATCTAGGCAAAGAGAGAGGAGGAGCAAACCTAATCAGTAGCCCAAGAATAAAAGTGAATTGATAAGTAATGCAAGATGCAGACACAAGCTGAAGGTTGAAATATACAAACTTTTCAGGATGATCTGGTCTAGGGATTACTTTTTCTGGCCTATTCAAGCAAAAAACCCAGTGAAGTAGCATCAGTGAAACAATGAATGTAAAGAGTTCTTCATGTAAGCAAAGGATAGTTCAGACAAAAAGAAGAAAACACTGAAATTCAAAATGAAACTAGTGGGAACTTAAGAAAGATCTCAAAACCATCAACTTTCCTGTATTTTTATAACTAGGAAAGTTATGATCTGCAACTGGGTACATATTAGATATATGTATTACATGTATTTTTCCCTTTTATAGTTTAAGTAATAAATATTGATCACAAAAAATCCTTTGATTCTCTTGAGGCTGCTTAAACTATCACTGATGGATCTAAGTAGAGAATATTAATAAATTACCTAAGACTCCTCAGTTGAATTTCCCAGGTAATGACACTCATGCCTGGAATAAAGATGCAAAAGATTTCTGGGATGCAGAACTTCGTAAAAATAGTGTTGAATTGTTCACTATTGTAGAACAGAGAGCCTCTAATGAATGCCCTGCGTAATACCAGCCAAATGCTCACACAAGCTATCCTTATTGAAAACTCATCTAACACCATCTCTTTGAGGTAAGGCTTTGTTTCACAGAAGATGACCTAATTCTTTGTTGAATGGAGGATACAAAATAAGATATCATGGATGAAATACAAAGACTAGATTGTTTTTCTTGACCTATCCTACAATAACCCTATGGAACCCTTCTTTTAGAAGCCAGAACCAATAATGAAATCAAACAGAAACATTAGGAGATAATGCATTGCTGATTGCTTGGAGGAAGATGACCTCAGATATTATCAGATTTTTCCCTCTTTTGGCAGACAGAAAATCGGAGTGTATGTTAAAAATCTATATTTGAGCATTACTAAAAGTACACACCTTCATAAGGTGAACTGTGGATTTTAATTATTTTTAATTTATTTCAATTTTCTTAAAAACTAGACCGTTCATATTACATGAATTTGTTATTCCCCCCAGGAGCAATATAAGCAGCAAGACTACAAGTTACCCCTGACATACATGTGTTTGTCAATGTATTTCTAAGACCTGACCGAACCAACTAAACCAGATGGTTTTGCTCATACGCAGGGAGTAGAAATTCCTTCCATATGCCACAAAGCTCTGTTTCCAAAAGTGTATGTTGAACTATTGGAAACTTTTTTGCTTGGGTGGAGGTTGGGGAGGGAGGGGGTGATATCTCTATCACAATCACTTTGCTTTACCTGACCATCTTTCTATTTATTCAAGGAGGGAAATGAAATGGTAACTTGATTTCCCATCAAACTATGTTTCACATGAACCAAAATTTCTACAGTGTGTAAAATATATGAAAATTACCCCTTTAGAAAGGCATAGTGAAAGATGCATATAATTATACATCTAAATGATATGGTTAATAAATGCTCAAAGTGATGGACTGTGTTAGATTCGAAGGACATCAAAGATAAATCAAAAAAGAAAACTTACCTTTGCTTCCACCAGCACCTTTGGCTAGGCTAGCTGAGCTGTGACAAGCATTTCACTAAGCCCATAGCATCACACATTGTATTAGGCATCGTCCCCAGACAAAACAGATCAGACAAGTAAAAGCAGGGATGATAAGGAAAAAGAACAGGACTGAACGAAGAAGAGGAGGACAGAGAAGGAAAAAGGCGTTTTATGTTCTGTCCACAAAATTTCAGCTTCTGGTTGTTTTCTTTGGGTGTCTAACCCAACAGAGATTGAGGAGGTGTTTTGTTTGTTTTGTTTTGCTTTTACAAACTTCGTTTTAAAGCGTTCATTTTTACTGGAGAAAACATTTTAAATCATAATTTTTTTTAGAGCCAGTTTGGCAAAACACCTCAAATAGATCATTTCATTCTTACTGGAGTACTTAAGGCTCAGGAATAGCTGTCATACCTCCTACAACAGGTGTGGAAGGTGCAGGGAGCTTTCTTGAAGTCTTCTACTGAGAAGTCTCCCCGGGAGGTGTGAGAAAGACAAGCGACCCAGCTATTTAGCCTGAGCACCCTCCAGGAGCCCCTGCTTCTACTTAAAACCTACTAAAAACACCACCAATATTTATCAGGCTTTAATAAGCAAACATACCATTGAGAC